GAGCAACCTGGTCTAGTGGAAGGTGTCCCTGCCCATGGCAGGGGGGTTGGAACTAGATGATCTTTAAGGTCCCTTCCAACCCAAACCGTTCTATGATTCTATGAAATGAAAAAACAGAGTGGGAATATACACAAGCAAAAATCTCAGTGCAGCAGGGGCCTCATCTCATTTGTATGTTCAGTACAATACATGCCAGTTGTAACACAGCAAGTTAATGGAGAAGGCAATGACCTGTGAAGAGAAACTTGAAGTATTCTGGGTGTTTGTGATGGTATTTTACAAAAGAACACTATTTGCAAACAAAAACATACCATTAATACGTGCATATACAGCACAAAATAAATGCACTAAACCCAGCATGGACTGTACTGTAGATATATGTTGCTATTTTTCAGAAAGAAGACTTTGAAACTTATTTCAGTGGCATTCTATACATTTATGATTTTAACAAAACTGTTACTACTTTTTAGACTTTTTTCAACACATTGAATTTGTGCCAGACAAGCATAAGGAAAGAATACAATCCTACCTGGAGGGGAATAGTCCCCATGTTCCTTGGGTTTACTTTTGACTGTCTGAGTGACCTGCTGAAAAGAAAAATTTAGAGCAAATGTGATATAAATATGATACAAATATGGGTGCTGCATCCTCTGCCGTGCACCCATTCCTTTACTGCTTGCAACCCATTATATAAAGGCTGTGAAACCACTTTAATGCTTGACAGGTCTTTTGCTACTGACCATGAAAAAGGCTTTTTGAACTGTGAAACAGCAATTCATCTCAAACAAACTAAGGAAAGCAATTCACTCTTCTTAGTTTCTCCCATTCAAAGAATGAGGTCATGACATAAAGCAATGCACAAAATGTTTGGCTATCCAGCTGCATCTTGAGATCATGTTGTTCACAAGTTAAGTGGTTAAGCAAGCTCTCTCCAAGTGAAAGCTGCCTGGGCCAACCCAGAGATACTGCAAAGAACGCGTCACCTGAGCTGCACAAACTCTGATTTTATCACTCTGTTCAAACAAATGCTGTGCAGCTCTTCAAAACTGCACAGACAGCTTTTTTTTTTTTATTAGTCATCATGCAATGCTTCCCTCTGCTCGTCACAGGCACTGTAGCACGCAAGTAGAAATTCTGGGAACCAGGGAGCAGCTAAGGTAGTGGGTCTTGAAACAGCTGTTCACACTAGACATTTCCTCAAGAGGACTAGCTTCATTAATGAAATATTTTCTAAAAATTCCAGTAGAAAACTGGGCAAAAGTACCTTTCTCTTTGTTCCTCTGGTTACTTCTGTAACTTGTTTGATCCAAAATAATTATTACCTTTCTTTTTTGACCTTGTTTTCTTCCTTCTCCCTCTGTTGCCTTTTTTTTGCTGGAAGACCCTTGTTGATGTTGTGATTTCAAGGCTTTTTTTGCTGATCCCCCGCCAGTGGTCTCCCCCCTTTTAGTGTAAGATGTGTGACAGCGTTTCATTATCTGTAAACCAATCGGAACAGGAAGAAACAAAACCAGTATTAAAATCCAATTATAGTCCATACAGTAGAAACAACACGCTAACAAAGCAAAAGAAACTTCCGGTGCTAAACGAGCACAAATGTTTTTCTAACCCAAAGCCTAAATCTTGCAAATTTATGCAAGTGAAGGACTACTGAAGGCACAGCCGTGTTTGCCTTTTCGACAAATATTTGTGTTCAACACTTCTTCCCTCACGGCTCGCCAGGCGACAGTCACGACCGAGAGGAGGTAAATAAGCCCCACCTCTCCCCGCCCCTCCAGCAATTACTGCTTTTGCGGGAAGGATCGGCGCCGTACCTCAACGTGAGCCGGAGACTACAACTCCCGGCACGCAACGCGGCCCGCCGCCGCCATGGCGCGGGACCGCCGGGCGAAAGGCATGCTGGGAGTTGTAGTCCGCACCACCCATGAGCCCCCAACCTCCCAACTCCTGCTCCCCGTTGCTACCGGATAACACGACGTGAACCTCCACA